GCATCATTTCTAACGAATGTTTATTCACTATATCGTGTAAAATACCTGAAATAAAGTTTCATCCCATTTTATCCCCTTGGGGGTGAAATTGATCAAAATCCTTTCTTAACGGATGCCTACGTCATAACATCTACCTGCATGCCAAATTTCAGCCCGATCCGTCCAGTGGTTTGGGCTGTTCGTTGATAGATCACTATGTCAGTCAGTCACCTTTGAGTTATGTATATTTAGATTTAGATCAGCATAGGCCTACGACATCATAACGATATTATAGCGATATTTAATTTTACTACATGAAATAGTGCCATTAAGTTTTGCGGAATAAATACCTAAGTTGATAACGTTGCTGTCAAATCTACAAATCATCATTCTTTATCATTCATTCGTTCATTCATCGTACATGTCAAAATTGTGTAATGAAACGATGTTGCCATATGATGAAGTAATTAAGATGTCATATCCTATGGCTAGGGTTAGGCAGTCGTATTTAAGGGCATTATTCGCCAAAGTTTTATAGAAGTTTCTCGAACGTCTTGTAGGTAAGTATTTATTGTCATTTCTTCAAGCTGTTTTGAAGTTCTGTAGTGTCTTTAGGTTTCTTTATGGGGTTTACTTTCATGTCGGGTGTTAACTTATCAAAAGGTAATTACATAGCCTTATTTTAATAAATATTCTTCTTGTTTATGGTTTTAAACATTCATTAGTTTATCATCATTGCCGTGATCATGTCGCTTACAACAGCGCTTAAATATCGGAAACTCGAGAAATATCATTTTAAAATTTTACAAACACACATTATAAGTCGTGAAAACATGATAAGTGCAATAAAATACCAACCTTGATGAGAATATTAGAAGTATACAGCTTTACGTTAGTTATTTCAAATATCTTTAACTGTCCCTACAGAAAAACTTTATAATAATAATAAATATTAAACAATACGACATACATTGCTAAGATTCCAAGATGAGTAGCTAAAGCCTCCGTATTATGGAGTATCTGAGACAACGAAGATACCACACCAATAAAGTTTCAAGGAAATAAAACCTCTATTATCTTTTAAAGTAGGTTTTTAATTTCATCGAAGCTCTATACTATGACAGCGTTGCCCTTGATGTGAAGTTCGAGGCTAATTACATTTCAGAATACAAATATCATCATTCACACTGTCTATCAATTTGGCCTATAGTCGCCCTCTCTTTTAATTATCGTTTTTACTTATGCAAATCACACCTTCTTATCACGGAATTATATATAGGTATTCTTAGTTGTGACGTTTCCTTTTCTTCATTATTTTTATACATTTTGCTCCAGTATTTTGTTATGTAATATAGAAATACTTATATAATAAGGTAGGTGAAAGAATTTCGACCGCATAATTGTAGGCCATAACTAGCCATAAGAAACGACATCTTAGCTATATAATATTTGTACCACCACATTATCGAAGAAACTATACCTCCAGTAGTTATTTTCGTTGCTGTCTCAATATGTAATATAGAAAATTGTTTTGCAATACCTCAACTAGCATTAAGTCTAAAATCTTTAATATATTGAAATAACCAATTTTTAATTTTTTTGTATACTTTATAAATACTACACATAAGCAATCTAAACAATGGAATTTTTAAAAACTATACAATTTTATCAGCTGCCTTTTACTTGCCAACTCGCGTCGTTTGTTTGTGCAAAAATTAAAGAGTAAAAAAATACTATTTCGATATATATCGCCATAATATGCCTAAGATGTCCTATGGCTATAGAGTTAAGCGGTTGCATTACAGTATTTCCGAAGATTCCCCCCTACAAATTTTACCTCTGTACGCGTACGTCTTATATGTAAACTAGCTTTTGCCCGCGATTTCGTCCGCGTGGTACAGTTACTTTGAGCAGCATTCCTAACGAATATTTATTAATTATATTGTGTAAAATACCCGAAATAAAGTTTCATCCCCTATTTTATGCCCTTAGGGGTGGAATTTATCAAAATCCTTTCATAGGGGATGCCTAGGACATAGTAGTTTTATGCATGCAAAGTCTCAGCTCGATCGGTTTAAAATTAACAAAACTTCGTACAAACTTTCATCCCCTAATTTATCCCCTTCGGAATTGATCAAAATCCTTTCTTAGCGGATGCCTACGTCATATGATCTACCTACATGCCACATTTCAACCTAATCTGTCTAGTGGTTTGGGCTGTGAATTGATAGACCACTATGTCAGTCAGTCCTTTGAGTTATATATAATTGGATTATTAAGCATTAAGCTTAGAATAGTTTGATAAATGTAAAGAATCATATCCAATTTTACCTAAACATTTACTAGCGAGTCTAGTGATGTGATATATCTCAAAATGTAGCTTATTTTTTACTTAATTCATATCAGGAAATTAACAAAATAAAGTCATTATTTTTAAGTAGTACTATGATAACTTACCAAACGCTATTCGGACCCTAAAATAATGGTTTGCTACACTAACCCAATACGATTCGGACCCAATGAAGATTTGCTTTGTTTCGTTTCATCTAACAAGGAAAAATATTCTTTCGTCATAAGGTAAAAAGTGTACATTAACAATTACACTTAGATTATTTTCTATATTTACTAATCAAACTATAAAAACCTTTGATTTTAATGCATTTATTTTTAAAGTAGCTTCACAATTATCTCGTGTTTTAACAGTTGTTATAACCTTAAAAAATTACAAATTACGAAAATTACGAATCTGGACTACAGATGTTTTTTTTTTTTAAGTTAAAACTAATTTAAATTATCACTTATAGTGAGTAGACATAACCTTTAAAAAACGCGACAGGTCAATCAATGTATGGAAAGTGGACATGGTCCTTTGTGCATCATACAATTTAACCCACTAATGAAAAGAAAGAGAAAATGTACCTATCCCATTAATATAGTTATAAAATATTTACATTAAATATAATATTTAACATAAAATAAAATTAAATATACATATTTCACTTAACATAGAAATAAATTACTTATTAACAAGCGTAATCTCACTAATAGGACGGTACTGTAAATATTAATAAGCATAGGTATTACATCTTGTACTTGAACATCTTGTATGACTTACGAATTAACCTAGAACTCGATATCGAGAGTGCAGCGCTGTAACCCCAGCGCTTCAAGGACTGTTCTGAGTAATATTCATGTAAAGTAAAGACGGTAGAAACTGATAATGGAAATTATAAAACAAAGAGTAAACTATATTTAAAAAAATTGAAAATAGCTTGTAAAAAAGGTTGGTCGGCAACGCTTTTATTACCTTTTGTAGTTTGATTTGATTGAACTTCTATGTTATAGGACACTGCCCTCAACGTAAAGTTCGAAGTTTTTTTTTAACAGAATAGCACTGCTCTTTGGAAATACATACATTATTGTTTTAACATTTTTTTTCGCTTTTATAACAAAGGAATAAGAGATGTGGAAAGAGAATTCTTTTCAGTCTATAGTATGGAAACGATACCCTAGCCGTAAGTATCAAGAACTAAAAATCTCCAAACAAATAATGTTCTCACTAAAGAACGGGTTATTTTATAATTTACAGCCGGTTCCCGAATTGAGAAAAGCAAAAAACCTTAATTGTAAAAGTTAGAATATTTTAAGGGATGACGACATTTTTTTGTTTGTTTGTGCGTCAGGAAGATTATTGAAAGATATTGAACACGTGTTTTTTATTATTTTTGCGTAACATTAAATTACGACGATACATCGAGTTAATCCCCCGCCCCTGAACTTTAATGCCTGTTTATTGTTATCTAAGTTATTTCTTGTCAAATTGAAGTAAAAAAAAAGTATTTAATATTTTTCTATTATTTGAATGACATTCTAAATAGAATTACTTTTTTTACCAGTCATCATCCCTAATTCATAGTTCTCACTTCATTTAAATTCTCGACTATGGATATGCTTAGTATTAGATCTGTGGTATAAGTGACCACAGTCATGAAATAATGAAATCTTAGTGACAGTTAGGATAATTTGTAGCCCTATAAATCAGAGTCTATTTTAAAATAAATCGATTGCGATAGATAGATTTATTGAAAGGATTTGCACTTTAACACAATTATGTAACGTTTTAAGTCGCACTGGTTTTTGAGCCATTTGCTTGGACGTTTGATTAGAATTGCTATATATTTTAAAATTGCGATTGCTTCTTCGTCGGAGTTGTTTAAGCCCCATGTATAACAATCTAATTATTATACAAGGGGCAATTAATAATCTCGTTGAACGAATACAAACTATAATAAAGGGGACCCATCAGGGTTTCTACTCGCTAAGGGGTTCCGAACACCGATGACCGGCCTGACACGCTCTTCCCACTCTTCGGAGCTGTGGAGGAACGTACTCGGGCTTGACACCGGAAGGCGCAATGACCCACGTTAGGATAAGGATCCATGGCAAGGTTAATGCCTAAGTGGGTCCTTCCAACTGGACGTTTAAGTATTTAAAATGCACAATTGCATGTATCCAGTCGTACCTCCCAACCCGCAAGCAAACCCGGTTTCCAAACGAGTATTTAAAGTCACTTTAACAGGTTGTCGTTTCTGATTTTATATTTTATAAATTATAACTAATCATTATAGGTAGTAGTTTGATAAAACTACGGACTTTTCGCTTTGTGAAAAGTAAAAAACTTAGTTATATATAGGATAATCATTTGAGATTTTGAACTTGTCTCGATTGAAAAACCGGCTGATAGTGTATGAGAAATTAAGGTAAAGTTGACGATACATCGATATTCGGTTTTAAGAATACCAAAATTGATGAAAAAGCCAACTTTTATTAACAAATTAAACTTAAAATTGATCAATAAAATTTTCTCAGTACCTACTATATCAACAACTTGATGCGCCATTGAATGTCGTATATACAAAATTCAGTTACATTTAAATTGTAAACTATAACTCTACTACTTACATCAATAATAGTTTAGATAATTGTTGACCTACTTTTCATTCTGACTATTGCAGAAAATTCTATACATTTTCTTCATCAGGGTCTGTTTTGATATGAATATTTTCAATTGGATCATCTATTAAGTCTACATGATCGGAACTGATTGTATGTTGTTGTGTTGTATCCTTATGTTCGTGTGTCGTAAGTTCTAAAGGATCAGTGAATTTATCAAAGGAACGGTCACTCGAAGTTGATTCTATAAACTTTTTCGTTGCCCTAATCTTTAGTTTGTTCCGTTTTTTAAAGACTTCAGGACAACTAGATGCGCTGAGGGCTTCTTCTTCCGCCTTTGTGATTGATTCGAATATTTCCCTTTGTACACGTAGCTGCAAATACTTTGGCAAGTTTCTTGTTTTCTCGCACAGACATTTGAATAGTTCACCCATTCCGTCGTTGTCTCTCTTAACTGTTGAAGGGCATTGTTTAATTACTTTCTTCTCTACCTTATTCCATCTTTCATTTAGATTGCTATCAACTTCATAATACGAATTATGAAGTCTGTGTCTTTTGTTATTGACTTTTCTAATAGGATTTATTGCAGTATCTACACTTTTATTTACATTTAAAGACACCGGTGATGTCAATTTAACTGTAATCATGGGATTATTATCTAATTTATTCGATTCGGTGTTTAATGGCGATAGTTGAGCATTCGATTCTACATCGGCATCTTCCTTTATGATATTATCCGTTGTATTGATGATGGAATTGTCAGTATTTTTGTTATCAACAGTGCGTGTTATAAGAAATTCCATGATATCTTCGTATTTCCAAGGTCGTAGATTTTTGTCTTCAGCTCGTCTTCTCATCGCTTCTCTATGACTGCTTCTGATCTTCGACCATAGCTGTTTTGCTTCTTCTCCTGAAAATGTTTGAATAGACACATATTTATATTGTTCTAGTCCATTTATTAAATAAATGAATGTAACTAAAACGAAGTAGTAATATACGAAAATGTTTATTACGATTAGTAACTTTAACAAGCAAATCTGTAGCGTTAATATTTAGCAACACTATAAAAATTAAGATAGATATGTTATAGAAAGATGATGGTATCAAAGTGATCTTAACATCTCAATTTAAGTCCTAAATTCAATAGTAAGTGAACTAAATATTCAACTTCAGCGTGTTTAAAACTCTTCTTAAAAACCATGTATGAAAGATATGTAACAATCTATAATAGGTATATGTGAAGTATCTGTGGTTAATAAAGACAATGATAAATAAACAGTTCCTGTCGCAATGAAATAATAGGGACCGCATTCAAACCACGGGAATGGCGACATCTTGAAACCGGCGTGCGAACCACTCGACTATGGAGGTCGTTAATATTCGTTGTACAGAATTGTACAAACTAATTACATTTACACACACAGAACAGGATTCACAAATGTATGGTGGGTGATATGTTGTTATTTTGTGATCAAGTAACAAAAATATATTTCAAAAAGATTTATTATTGAAGCACCAATGACTAGCTATCATTCACTAACATTGATAGAATCAGTCCAGCAGGCCGATTCAGCTAACGATTACGTCATTATTGCCTCTAAATAAAAATCTCAATTATATCCTGAAGTCTAAAATTATATTATGTCACCATTTATGTGTTAGAAAGACTTTGCAATAATAATAATATTAGACTTTGGATAGACAGTAGGTAAAAAAGCAAAATGCTAGTCGTTAAATAAAATGCAGGGGACTCGAACCCATGACCTTACGTGATCCGAGCGACTGCTCTAACCATGTTGTACATGTTGTAGATTGAGACAAAAATAAAAATTAACAAAAAAAAATTTTTTTTAAACAGACTTTTATTTGTGCACACTAAATCGTAAATAAATAATTTCTAAACATTTAAAGTACTTATAGTCAACTATTTATGTAACAGTAATTGACAACAGAATAGATTGTAGCGCGTAAAAATATATGTATTTACTCGTCTCCGATTTCATTAGCGCTACAAGTTTTGCAATTCAACTAATGTTAGAAAAAACTTTAAACGTTTAGAATTTATTTATTTATGTTTTAGAGCGCACCAATTGTTTTATTTTTTCTTTTAATAACCAGTTGATAGAAGTTTGATAAAAACTAGGGACTTTTTGCCTTGTGAAAAGTAAAAACTTAGGTTATTGAGAATAATTAGTTGATATTTTGTACTTTTCTCGATTCGGAAACCGACCGTAAGACTTTTCTAGAAAACTAACATAAAGTTATGCAAAAATGTCATATGAAAAAAGTAAGTTAAATTTTAATTACGTGGTTTACCTTTCGCAAAGGCTGGTTATAGGATGGATGACCAAAAATTAAGTACGTAAAAGACACGAGTTCATTTGAACGTTATTTTTAAGATAGTAGTTTTGAGTGTACGCGCTCTCTTAATTTCGCTTTATCTAATAAACATAACTCACACGTACATTATTGTGATGTTCAATTGTTGACAAATATTTTCAAAATAATAAAAGAATAAGAATAGTCGTAAGAGAATAAGTTAACTATTAATTTTGATGATAAAAAAAAAAAGAAACTGAAATAGAAGTATGTTATTAACAAAATTTTCTATTCTTATATAATTAAGTAATGGTACAAATAAAAAGATACTTCGCTACGCAAAAAAGTAACGATACAGACCGCAAAGCAAATAGAACTCTATTGATAACATAATAAGTATAAGCGCTCACCGTTTGCTATGCCACACTTCTCAGCTACCAATTCCCATGTATCTCTTTTCTTTGGTATATCACGGAAATACATGTGATTTACGTCCCATAGATGTGTATGCGATTTAACTTCGAGAATGAAGTTATCCATTGTTATGAATTCTAAGTGAAAAGTTAGTATTTGATGGTTATTTTCTTTAAAAATAAAACCAACGCGGCTACTTCGTTGTGACGCACGCTGTGCACTGAGACTCGGCGCACGTTGCTCGCGTGGACAATCTATAACTACAGTGCACGCTACGCACACATGCCGAATCAACGGTAGGTATATTCCCAAAAAGTCGTATAAGATATTGAGAAAACGTATATAAGAGACCGCCGAAACGCGAAATAGATATGAGTCATACAACATCTCAATTCGATTTATCGCCGTAATTTATTGATTAAGAAAAAAATCAAATATACGTGTTTAACATTCTTCAATAATCTAGCTGACGGACAAACAAAAAAACAAATGAATTAGTCATCATCCCTTTTAAATTAAAATCTCTAAGCTATTATGATTATTTTAAAAGGGCTGCATGAAGTAATATTGTCGATTTTCCACATAAAAAAGGGTATAAGTAATAAATGGAGAAATGAGCATTTTATATAACTTTGTGATTTCTTTCCACTGAGAAAATTTATTATGACAGAGCAGGTATTATAAGAAGTATAATTTATTTCCCTCATTTTAATTACAGCTTAAGTGGACGTTATTTGTACAAAACTATATAGTTGAAATATAAGATTTCGTACGTGCCCTCTAAATTTGAGAAAATTCCAACAAACGGTTAATACACCTACTGTATGCACATAAGCTGTCCTACAAGACCGCTATTTTTTGAAAATGAAATTTAAAAAATGCTTAAAAGTAGTTACAGTTTTAATAAACGGAACGGAATCTAATAAATCTTTTTGTATATTTTGATTGGATGGCGGCTTATGGGAACAGCCCGTCTCCGCCATTTTGTTCTGTGCCCCAGGCAGGGCGCTGCGTATTCGTGCATCGCGTGCGAACGCTACCCACATCACGCGACGTTCCGATGACGTCACTGCACCACGGATCGATCGATTTCACTCTCTCACCATTTTGAACACAAACTGAAACTTATCTATATAAACTCTTCTATCTATTGTACAAATACTATTGAAGATGAGCCAGAGTTATAATCGGGGTAGAGTATAAAAATTGGGGTAGTACATACATACTGTATTATTTTTTTACGTAAGCAAAGTTAATGAATAGAGATGCCGATATTATGGGGACACGAACAGAAACAGAGTTTTGATGTCCGATCCGGCATTAAACAACCTTCAACTGTTGCACAAAGCAATTTAAGGTTGATCATTTTGTTTTCGTTTTTTTACGCTTTCAATTAACACCTATTTATTAAATGAGTAATGTTAAAAATATAAAAAGAGCATTAGTTTGGGCAAGAGTTAAAATACCTATTAAATGTTAACATCAATAAGTATCAGAAATCATTTAAATAAAAATAAAAACTTATCACAGAAATTGGACTATGCATAATAAAAAATCGTTGAGAAAAAACTAGAAGTTATTTGTGAATTTTATGGCAGCAAAGTGAAATTACTAGACAAAGGACAGCACGAAAAATTCTGGGAGAATTTCGGATTTCCCGGCCAGATGAAGCGTAATATAGAGGTATAATTATGAGATAATGATAATGAGTATGAAATCATTCGTAAGTAATGAGACTTGGAAATTGTTTGGGTATTGCATAGGTATTATCATATTTCAAAATATCGATCGATAAGACTAAAATACGTACGACGCGCACGCAAGCGGGAAAGGGAGAAAATATAAAATCTACAAGGTACGCAATAATACACGTAAGACGCATGTAAGCTGTGTTGTCGGTTCTTAATTGTAATAACAGTTCTTAATGAAATAGAAAACTTAGAGGAGGAACCGAAATAGTATAAGGAAACTAAGGAGTAAGGCGCGCAAAAATATATAAAGTGGCATAAAACTGTTTTAGAACAGATTTTTTAAATAAAAATAGGTACCCAATTGTATTAGCTAAATTAAAATCATTAATTATTAAATTTTAAGTTTTTAATCATCGTTATGACTAAAGTATTGCTACACAAGATAATCGGTAGCTTCCACTATTTTCATGAACAATACAGATAGAAATTAATATGAAAACTTTGGTCAGGAAAACTTTTCCAATCAGGGAAGCTTTTGTTTGGGCACGATTAATGGTTGCACAATCACCAGCACACGTACATTTTGTCTGGAACAATATTTAAAATCTATACTTTTTTTCTAGAAATACGATTCGTTTTAGTTTGTAGTACCTATTACATGTTAAAAAATTGTGACGAATTAGTGACATGAACTTTAATTCCACTCACTTCAATAGAATTCGAGATATTGCTGATTGATTAGTGTGCCTGCTAACTTGACGCTTAAAGCAACTACAATTACAAAGAAATGGGTTGGAATTTGAAGCTAATAAATACACAAAACAATTGTGACTGATATTGTGATTCTCGTGATACATATAAAGTCAAAGATTTCTTCTTTATTATTCTTTATAACTAAAAAAAAATACTTTTTCACACTAAATGTTCAAGAATGCTTGCGATGCATTTTAAACTTTATAGTGCTGCAATAATATTCAAATGTATTTTTAATGATGTGGTGAGCATTGAGTAAATTTTTATGTAAAACAATTAATAAAATTAATTTTCAACGATGATCGTGTTGTTTCCGGAAGAATCTCTTACCCAACTGACATTCATAAAATAAGAATAAAAATTAAAAGCAAAAAGAAAATTAAAAAATATTTTATTTAAACGCTTTAAAAAGATGAAAAAATTTAAAATATTAGAACCAATATATAACTTCAAAAAAGTGAAAAATAATTCTTATCTCACAAGCGACTTATTCAAGAAAATGTTATTAAAGTCCCGCGGGAGTCCTGATTACCTCATTTTTTTAAGTCGGTTAAAATGAAATTATTTTAAAGGTCAAAGACAAAAACTTTAGATGTGGAAACCTAGGACAAAATAAACGGTGTGGTACAACGCAACGTAACTCATCTTAACAAACGGATTTTCGCGAGATGCAGTAACATCTATCTACTACACTGGTCATTACTTAGATCTATTCTGGGGTTGATATCATTAAGAAATCGAAGGGTATCCCTTACGTTTTCTCACTCGTCATATCAATCTACGTTTACGATTTTCTCTAGTTAGCTAAATAGCTTTGCTGTATGCGTTATGATAAAACTTTTTAAACAATTACTTCCTAAAAATACTTCTCAGAAGACATTTTAACTCAAGTTCAAAGCAGTTCTAGAACGAAATAGTACTGCGGCTCCTACTACTAAAAAATCCCACTTCTTTTATAATAATTTCATGCAAGTGAGACCTGAAAACGCATCGAATAACGAAATTTCAATTCACTTTATTCTGTACTTACGTAAAGGTAGGCTATGGAAGATGAACATAAACTTCTCTCTACGACTCTAGCTATAAAATGGCTCGAGAATTGAATCTTGCACCGGAGTGTGATAAAACTAACTCTATGTCGGCTTAAAGGAATGCCGTGGGAATCTCATAATGTATAGTATATATTTTGTTTTTTGTATTGTATAGTATATATTATGTATATATTTTGTTTTAAAACTTATCCACTTATACTGAAACTAGTTATTAACCCAAGTTTTTTAAAGTATCATCATTTAGAATTTTTATCGATAACATGGAAATCTCTCGATAATTCATCAGAAATAAGTATCGATGTAAGTAAGTCAAGACCGCAACAAAAGCCTCATTTTCTGTCACTGATGTGTCATGGTGCGTAAGTACTATACCTACCAGCATAGTTTTATAGCAAAGATAATTTATTATGTATGACGTAACGAGTTTAAATGGATTCCCTGGAAAATGATATACATTCGCAGGATTACAATATTTATGAGATGTGCCCCCCGACCAAGGTGGGAGGGACTCGTGACTGAAATTTTACCCTTTCTTCAGCGATCCGCTACCTAGCAATTACTTGGAGATATACAAAAAGGGATAAAGGATTCTTTTAGCGCTTAATATCGGTATTGAAGGTGTAAAAGAATTCAAGAACACTCGCAAATTATGAATTTAACAAAGAACGATTCAAAATGATATAACATGGAGTAAGATTATATTTGAGTGGTAATAGATGGCGGTGATGTTATAAAGTGTTTTTAAGGTTAAATTGTTTAAAATTTCTCATTTTTAACGTTTTAATATAGGTATATAATCAAACAGTTGATGTTACATTTCAGAGAAAGGTAATTTTTAATTACCATCCTTAGATATTAGTTCATTTTTTTTATTTAACTTTATTACCTAAATTATGGTTTGTTGATACGGCCTCCGTCCTGACTAGCGCCAACTACTTTTCGTCATCATCATCATCAATTATACGGCGCCCACTATTGAGCATAGGCCTCCCCCATAGACCTCCAAGACGATCAGTCCTGCTCTGCCCACATCCAGCGGCTTCCTACCAACTGAATGCCCGGTCCGGTGCGTGATCGCCATTCCAGAACCTTTCCGCCCCAATGGTCATTGGTGCTTCTGGCTATGTATACCGCCCACTACGACTTCAGCTCCTGTCCTTCCCATCCTTCGAGCATTACCAGTAACTTTAGTTCTCTTACGGATCTCCTCATTCCTAATTAGATTACATTGCCCACTGGATGACCTTGAGCTTTCTTATCGCACCCGCAGTGAAGAACCACTTTTCGTTTCCCTAGATCATTACTGGTAATACACACAGTTCGATCACATTTAGCGATTTATTTATTTCGGATTAGTTGCCATAGATATCTATTCATGTTGTCAAAGTAAACAAAGCCGAGTTTTTTGTCTCCGTTTCTTGTTAAATTGTTTGTTGTAATATGTATATCAATATTTTTTGTCATTAGAATTAGCATTAATTGAAGTGAATAATAATACTATAACAGAGTCATCTCTGTTCATATACATATTTGAGTAGTTTTTATTTTAGACGAGTTATTTAAATAATCCTACACAAATCCTCAACAATTTATTCAAATTTAGAAAGACCACGCCATCTTTATTTCTAGGGACGTAATTATGAATGTCTAATGGAGCGCTCTCCTATGGACCCTTAGAACGAAGTCCCCGCCAAAGGTTTTAATCGTTTAATCAGATATTAATACGCTATTATTTCCAAATTCCCCGCTAAGAGATTGGATATTCTCGATCTATGGCAACGAAGGCTTATATCGTCTTTTACTAAAAAAAAAAAAATCGAATGTTTGCTTTTATACTATCGAATCTGTGAACAACAACAAACTCTATCGGTACTTTAATATTCTGAACAAACTAACGTGTGGCTGGGTTTGTATCCTATTTGTGTTCGCTTTGTTTGCCAGTGATCAGAGTTTTTGTCTAACTAAAGAGCTCGAGATCGTAAATTTTTTGGTCACCCATCCTATAACGAGCCGTTGATAAAGTGTTGCTTAACAACCGTATCGAGGACCAGGAGCGCTAGTCACTGTGTTATCAAGCACCTTATAATATGCTTAATGCTTTCAATAAAAAAATATATGAACACACAAAATGTACCTTTTTTGATTTTCAAGCCAATTGAAAACCATACACAAAACTTATTATGTATTTTTATACTTCCAGTAGTGCCCAAATAGTAGATAAATCACTTAAGTTAACCTACCTCATTGAGATAATATCGTTTCATTGTTAAATACATTTTTATCGAAAATTTCTCTCGGAAACACCTAAGCATAATTAATACAAATATAAAAACCACAATTACCTTAAATTGATTAAAATAAAATGGGTAACGTTTCTTTCTTTTATTTGACGGTAATATTTAATAATTTCCACTTGACTTAGCGTTCCGGAATGCTGGGTCAGCATGGACGACTCTTAAGTGCGACTAATGTTTCATATCTTAATAGGAATCTCTCTCTCGTAATGTCCAAGCCATCAGCATTTTCCGAAAATAACCTTCTTAAGGTAGTACCAACTGCGTTTTTTGCTGATTGAATCTTTTTTTTTTTAATAACTGAATCGCTGGCTTACCTACCTATTTACAGATAGAATAAGTAGATTGGTAGTTATTACTTCTTATGCTTTATAAAGGCGATGGATTATAAAGAGGGTGTCTACAACGAAATCAGTAATTTTCAACTGTTTTTGGCTAAATCGAGATGCGTGACAAAAATGTGCAAGAAAGATTGATATTTCAGTATTATAAATACTAAATATATAACATGACCATTTTATTCTTTAGATCAAAATTGGACTAGAAAACGGGTAAGTATTAGGTTGCGAAGTGTACGTATAAGGTCGGGGAAAAAATCTTTTCTCATAAAATATGCATTAAAATATTTCTGGCTATACCATTTGTATTTGGTTGGATTCAGTACCATTAAAAAGTTACAATTTTAAATAAAATAATTCCGAATTCAAATTTGTAAAATGGGTGCCTTTCATTTGTTTTTCTTAATGTCAAAATGAGTGAATCAAATTTATTACAAAAAGGTAAAAATGCAAAGCAAGCTGTGAAAAACGTTGTGATGTTTATGGACCTAGTGCAGTTTCTGTGAGAGTAGCACAAATTTGGTTTAAGCATTTTCAGTCCGGAAATTTTTATGTTAAAGAGCACGCTGCTCCGGCCGGTTAGGGATAAAATGAATGCCATAATGAAAAAGTGAAGCAAGATCGGCATATCAGTACTTACGACGTAACTGAAGAACTAGTTGGTACTCATTTCAGTTTCTTTATTACGGTGTAATGAAAGCGAACCATTTTTGAAGAATCTGATAACGGGTGATGAAAAGTGGATCACGTACGACAAGAACAGTAAAGGAACGTATAAGGTCGTGGTCAAAGGTCGGTCAGGCTTCAAAGACTGTGGCGAAAGGTTTAACTCGCAACAAGGTGATACTGTGTGTATGGTGAGATTGGAAGAGCATTATACATTATCACCTATTACACCATCAATTCTGAATTTTACTGCAACCAACTGATGAGAATAAAGCAAGAAGTTGAGACAAAGCTGCCAGAATTATTCAATAGATGGAGTGTGGTTTTTCATCATAATACAGCTAGACTCCACAAATATTTTGGCCACTCAGCAAAAATTAAGAGAATTTGGCTGGGAGGTGTAAATGCATCCGCCGTATAGTCTCACTTTGCCCCTTTAGATTTCCACCTGTTTCGGTGTCTTCAGAATTCTTTGAGCAGTGTCGGGTTAATACGCGAGTACTGCTAAAATCACTTGTTGTGGTTTTTTTATCAGTAGCCCCAAAATTTTAGCAACGGGATCATATCCTTATCAACAAGATGGCAAAAATTTATCGAAAAAAACGGTACCTACACACTTCAGTTTAATTTTAATGTAAATAAACTTTATTAGTAAATGCTTCGATTTTTCATATAAAATGCAAAAAAAAACTTTTTGCACTTAGATCATATTGGTATCGTAGTAATGTTTAATTTTAAAATTACAGATTTTTTATTTATCCATAATACTTTAAAGAGATAAAGTACAGCCTTGTTTGTTTGTAGAGAGTGACATATGGCATGGCCCAATAATATCGTGTACACCTACGGGAAACTGCATCATATTATGCGGGTGACATAGGTTAGAAGTTAGACGGGCAAAGTCGCAAGAAAACAGCTAGTTGGTTATAAATTCTGACGAAATCTGTTTCCGAATAGTTTGCTTACACTGCGTACTATCTCCGAGATTCCGGTTGCCAAATCTGGACCTGAAAAGCATTAGGTCGGATGTCGGGAATCTTAGGCATAACTGTATAAAAACAGAAATAGCTAAATGCAATCAAAATATTTGAAAAAGTCGTCTGATCCGACTTTATGCATGACTGTTGCTCATGAGTAAAAAGGCACAAACATACAAGAGTTAATTTGCCGGAAAGAGAAAAAAGAGTGTAGCAACGTTATGGCGATAAGTGATTTTAGCTGGTTCTGCACATCCGACCTAATGCTTTTCAGGTCCAGAAATAATCTTATAAATAAAAAAGAAGTAATTAAAAAATAAACATTCATCTGGTAAGTATACAAATATTCTGTCAACAGTAATAAAAATCAGGCAGCAAACAGAAATTCTTGTTCTGTAAAGAACCATGATAATGATCAGTAATTTAAATAGAAGTATAAGTAGGCAGCGTCCGCAAAATAATTATTTGGGCAGCAACATAATGCAAATATTTTAATATATGGATTGCGTTTGTTTGAAAAAACCGGCTAAGTACGAATAAGACTCGCGCAGGAAGGGTTCCTTACCATTATCTACTAAAAACGCAAAAAATACGTTTGTTGTATGGGAATCCCTTAAATATACAACTCTTTATAAGAGTTTTTAGTATATGTTGTCATAGCACCTACAGAAATACATCATCTATGAAAATTACAACTGTTTTAAATTGTTAGCCAAGTTTGATAAACAAAAGTGGATGAAGAGAAAGCGCGCCCATTACACGAGTTATACGGCTATTATACGGCTGTTTAAGTTGCAGTCAAGTGGCGATCGAAAAATCGATCAAAAAATCCATGAAACTTATTTGTGTATATTAAATATAATTTTTCATATTAGCGCCACAGATTTGATTTTTTGTGTACTCTATAAGTACTTATCAATGTTTGATTAAATATGAACTGTTCTTTGAGATTTTACATATATTCGGCTATATAAAAAAATGCTGTGGTTCAAAATGATATATATTACAAACTGATTTAGAAATATTTGATGACCGAAAAGTGCTGCTTAATTAGGTATTTTGGCAAACCGATTACATTTTGATGCTGATAAAGATTTTTTATAAATATTTAATTGGACCTAAAACTGATTACTCTGCTAATTGTTTAAACATCCCCCTTTTCTATATCTACTGCAATCCCTTTCAAAGGTATAGCGATTTTTAAGTCGTAAAAGCTTTCGGAACGAATCAGAAACGTAAGAAACCATGCAAACAAACAATCACATATTTCCTCATTATAAATGTTTTGTTTTTAATTTTCTTTTTTACACCACCACACACCGTCTCCGGTCATCCTCACTAGCTTTACTTTTACCAAAGTATCCATTACTCTTAGAAAATTCACTGTTACAGACGGACAGTCAGTCTGTAAAGCGAGGGCTCCGCTTTTTCTTTTTTTAATGCGGATCCCTAAAAAAATTATTGACTTTATATATCTGCCCACTGACTATAATTTACCGGGAAAATATTGATACATTTAAGTTATACTTGATAATGAATTACTTAAGTTTTTCTTTATATAAAACAAAAGATTTATTGATGCCTAGATTAAAAATCTGGGAGAAAGGAAAACAGAAATTAATTATAACCTCATATCAAATTTACTACAAAATAATTTATTCGATTCGATTAACTATACATTTATTTGCAGTTTTTATTCTTCTCTTCTCTATGATAATTAAGTAGGTACGCGTTTATCTATGCTATTGGCGGACATTAAATAAATGTCATCTTTAATGGATAAAACAGGGTTGTCAATAGTGACATCTAGGTATGTTTTTAGGAAACATTTACCAACGCATTACTTCAAAAAGCATTAAGTTCTGTTTGAAACTTTCAGAGTATTTATGACTAACTGTATGGTCATAATAATTTCAGCAGATTTGGCAACGTTACAATGCAAGTCAATTAGAAAAAAAAAATGTACAGACGTTTCTATATGATTTGATAATAATAAGTCAATTTATTAGAAAATATTATCGTACATAGCTACATCTATGGACCACAATAGTAAGTTTTTACTGCCATCTACTGAAAACTACTAGCAAACGCAACGTAGTTCGCATTCCGTCCGTGGCGCTCACAACCCAAACAATAAATTCCAACATGGTGGCAATGTGCTACACAGTTTGAAAATGCAGGTCGTGTCATGCTTTGAAAATAATCATTTTATACTCGAATTTGGTGGAAAATGTCGGACTCTAAACGTGCTACTCTTATAACAGTGGGTGCTCCTAAAAGTGCAAAGAATAATGTGAATAAAACAGTGAGATTAACTATAAATTTGGTTGAAAGCAACGAAAGTAAATATCCAGAGCTGAATTACAAGGAACTAGTCATTGCAGAAGAGGTAAGTTATAACAGAAAATCATAGCAATTTACGCAACCATACTGGATTTCCAGCTCTTTGTACGCTAAGGAATCTGCAAATAAACTAAGATCGTGAAATTATTAGGTGTTTAGTAGATAATCGTGCATCAGATGAATGCCTATCGAGTTCGTTTTAGGATATTTTTTGCTTACGTTACACAGCTTTGTATTAGGTTTGTGACATGAATTTGTGTCCACGAGCTATACGAGAAGCCCAGATAGCGGTCGCCATGTTTGCAACATTCATAGGAAAACGTTGTCAGCCTAGGACATCGTTTGAAGGGTCCAATGTTTTAGCTAATAACATTGGTTAGAATTCAATTTGTTTATTGAACTATTTAGATTTTACGGTGCTAATATCGAAATATTACACGTTGCAAGTTTGCTTACGACATTTTGCAAAGCCCTATGATATCAAATCGCGTCTAAAGTACATTGTATGACCTAGGCTACTCTATGAATTCGATGTGTATTTCCGGTTTTCACTAAGTTTGATATTAAATGTAATTACATTTTCAAATTCGAAATGAATTTCTATGAAAGTTGTAACATCTGGATGTCATTAGAGTAGTTATGTAGGTATATAATATGTACGATGTAGTATATAAAAGAAATTGTAGTTCTATGTGTGCGTTCGTAAAAGGTGTTAAACTATTGTGGTGCTGCTCTAACTTGTAGAAAGGAATATGTGATTTTTATTTTCGCGATATATAGGCATGGGTTAGCATATTATTGACCGTAGGATGTTTGGTTATGTTGGCTCGCAAACTTGTTTTGATAAATATGCAAGCCTAGTGAATTCGCTTGCGAAATGCAAGTGTTGCAGCACATCGTCGATCTGTGTATAGTTTGAAGCTTTTGCACGATGTTATCGATTTGAAAAGTACCATACAAGAGGACATGTTTGGAGTACATACTATTAGGTTATGTATATACGTGTGACCTGTCTCTCGTCTATTTACTTTCGTCTGTGTGCGTTTGCTTTATGTAGGAATGTATTTGTGTGTGTTTTATTAGATTGTTCGGTGAGCTCGCGGTTGCTCTGCTTTTATAGGTTATCTTTTTTTTATATTATGCGGTCAGTGGTTTTTATTTATAGCGTTCTTGCATTTGCGAGTTCCATATACATTTTGTGTTCGTACCGAAATATGTTTATATTTTGTGATGGATTTATGCAAATTATATTATACAGTTTTATTCGTTAAAAAGTAAGATTGTCTTACTTTCTTTTAATTTTGTAGAAAATATTCGGCATTTTTATAGGTACACTAATGTTATTTATGTTTATAGATTATATTTTGTTATTGTAAAGAAAAAAAAAACTAAAAATTATATCAATGAATATGGTGTCATTCACTAATTCGATTTCCGTTCTCTTAGTCTTTGCGACAATTTGTAAATACGGATGAAAATAAACTCAATCTCGTAGGGCGTAGGGTAATAAACGTTAGTATGTATAGACACCGGTAAGAATGGTTGCGAACTTTACGTCGTTACGAATAGAGAACGTTTTACGATGTTTATGGTGATGTACAAAGATTGCTTACGAAATTTTTTGAGCACGCGATCGGTGCGAATGCGTGATCATATTCTCGTGAACGATGAGGATGATATTAGTCATTGATTGATCACGCGACATTTTGTTACTTGATCGTAATTAAATGCGTGCTCTATAAAATTGTGTTAGATACATAGTTTTTAGTTTGTTTATATATAATTACATATATTTTTGTTTGAATAACCACTTTATTGCTAGGGATGTATTACTTGTTAAGCCATTTCATATTTAAAAAAAACATCGCTGATTCTATATTGTTTCCGATTTGGATAGCGACGATTCAGAATCTGATAAAATTCAAAAATCACGTCGAATACTACAGTTAATTCTCATTTGTCAATGAATGTAACGTGATTTACACAACATAAGCAACTAAACTACATAGCGATGCGGGCTACACCAATAAGGCGGAAGTTCGCATGGGTTATGTATGCGTAGCGTAAGCGCGCGAAATTTGAACTGAATCAGTGTATCAACCAATTCCGATTTATCGGAAGTAGCGGAGTCTTGAATAATTAAACTGCTTAAGATGAGTTTAAAGATTGTTTTATTGAAAAAAAAAGAATATTCAAATGCATTATCATATTGTTCTTGTGGTTTGTAATGGTGATTTCTAAACTACGAATTTGAACCTGTTAATTGTCAGCTACATTTTTTAGAAGACAAAATGTTACCTTAAGAATATTTTTACTAATAAAACTATTATGAATTGTTATTCATTTATTTTATTTGAATCTGTGACAGTTGTATCATGATCAGTAATGATACAAATAATGTAAGTACTTTTATGAGTGTACATAAAATTTAAAGATTGCTTTAAAATCAAAACTTTCTTTGGTTTCATGAATATTATTATTCTGAAATAAATCTGGTATTGCTCATCCCAAGTACATACTTGCAATTTATCAGAAGAAATATTAATTAATTGTTCAAGTACCTTGTACAAAGTAGGTATGTGTGATGTATAAAGCAATGTTATAGCTTTACTCCATTGGCCTATTGATGTTCTACTGCTGGAACACAGGCCTTCCCTATTGATGGAATCGAATTGAATAGGGAGGACATGACCCATCTTGTGGTTCCAGTGCTTATGTGGGTTTTAACAACTGCAAATAGAACCAACACCGTTGGGTTAATCTTACTTCCAAAGCATGAAGGAAAGGATCTCAAATTAATTTTTTTTTTCACCCCATCCTATCACTAGCTCTTGCGAAATTTTCTTAACTTCCACAATGCAAAGCGAATACATTAACCACTGTGCCACTGATCTCGACTTTAAAAATGTATTTCTAAAGAGTGTTATTATTACAGTATTATTTTGTACCATATGTTTGGCTATTAGACTCAATTTCAACCAAATATTTTGAATTAATTAAAAATGTTTGACAGAAAAGCAGAAACATGTTTTGAAATGTTTGGTGGCGTTTACATGTAAAAACAAAAGTGATAATAACACTGCCTTGTTTCTTGTCTGCATATTATTTTTAACCGACTTCACAATCCAAAGAGAGGAGATCATGTGTTACTGCCATTATATTTCTGCCAATTGCTGACCAATTTTCAAAATTGTTTTTGTATTCAATGGCTTAATGGACTAAGGTGATCCCATTTAAATGTTATTGAAATTGAATCAGTGTTTTCCTTTAATAACAAAAGAAAATATGGTTTTCACCATACATCACCTTAATATTTATATAATATGTATTTCTGCTAAAATAAGAGATTTCATATTTGGAATTTATTTAAAATCCGAAAAGAAGGATTAGAAAATGCTAGAAATGTTAAAGGAATATATTTTTTTATGAAAGTGAACCTATTTCTATCAAACTAGCTGTTTCCCCATGACTTCGCCTATTAGTGTTATAATAAATATCACTCACAAGTATGAAGTATTTCTATTTTTTTTTTAAGTTTTTATAACATTGGTTGTCATCAAAGTGAATTTAAACAATTTATTGCTATGTTTCTCCCTTCATTTGGAGTTATTTATCACCAAAGTACTGGCTTATATTATTATATTTGATCAATTTTGCATGCACTATGCTGCACTGAAAAATATTCTTAGTGAAAATGCTTAAAAAAGGCAAAAAATATTCTTAGTGAAAAATGTTTTAAAAAAGCAATATTTCAATAAGAATAGCTTATATTATTTTTGCCTAATTTGGAAGTTCTTGTTCTTTTTTGTTTATGTTTGTAATGATGTCATCTGTGGTTCTAGCAGAATACCAGTGCAATGGGCAACAGCCATTTCCTAATCTGAGCTGGAACCAATTTTGACAACACTATATTTCAGCACATTTTGCTTTGTATTTGTATTGTCTGTGTTCATCTTGTACCATATAGGTATAAAAATAAATAATTATTTAAAAGTAAACTTAATTTTTTAAACATCTCATCGTCTACCCAAATTGTTTGCTTTATCTTTATACTTTGGATAAATTTGATAATTATTTTAAGGATCATAGCCTTTGATTTATGCATACTTGATTATTACATTTTATTTAATTTCATTTGAAATTAAAATTGGACATTAATAAAAAAAAAGTTGTTACATTTTTTATTGTCTACCCTCTAACTCTAAAAGACTCACTCATATGTGAGAGTCCATTAAAATAACTGCATTATAATTACAATCTATCAAAGTATACAGAAAAGCAATTCTATTACCTTGTTGTAATTGTATGTTTGCTATCGCTTTGTCTATAATTGTGGCCTAATTATGATTAGGATGAATTAAAAAATTAAATAATATGTTATTTAATGAGGAAGTATTTATAACAAAGAAAGCACTAAAAAGCGACTCTAGCAAAAGTTGATTTTTGCAAGAAACAAATGGACCAAAGATAGTCATTTGATTTTTTGTTAATCCAAGTTAGCATAGAATTTTTTTCGTTTAGTCGTTCTTTTACTCTACAATGGCTACAATTTAAAGTCACTGCAAACATTTTATTCTTATCTAATTAATTAAATTTATATTATATTGGTTATATGTTTCAAAAATTCAAAACATTTATATTTTTGTTATTAGCTAGTTACGTGTAAACGCCACCAACGTGATATTGGCGGAATTGTGTAAACGCAAATAGGCTATGAATTAACAAAGAAGAAGAGTGTTAAATTTACTAATTTTATATACATTTTGCAGCGCAAGAAAAAAGTAGAAAACGGCAAAACAAGGGGCCTAGACCCATTCTCCGACAATGACGATGATGTCAAGCAGGTTGCAAGAAAGTTTGAACAAAAATATGTAAGTTTATAATACTTTTATTCATCAGAGCTCCTCATATATTTATTTAATGATATGATATAAAATATATATGCAAATCGGACTCCACAAAGTTTTGTTTTCCTTCTTCTTCCATATTTCAATGACACAGGGGCTTCATTGCTTAGTTTGGGGTTTAAGCATCGTTGGAGTTAATGGTACAACTGTTAGGCCACATTCCTTGGATGGAAACAAGAATATGGGGTATAACCACATGCGACAAAATGATGCGGCATCTTCATAAATACCGAGATCTCAATATTGGCTATTTAATTGTTTTTTGAGGAAAAAAATTGATAGTGATTTAAAATAAGCATATGAAAATTTTAAATACTGAATTTTCACATGATTGTTTTAAATTATTACCAAATTTTTTTTTCTCAAAAAGTGTTACAAAAAAGGTTAAATATATTTTTATACGTAAATTTAAATTCTCCCGCGAAAGCAATCAGTTAAGTGACATTTCCGGTCGTAAGGTCACATTTCAATAAACATGAATACTGGATACAATCGCAACAAAGACGTCGACGTTTAGTTTATTGAAGTGTGACGTCAAGCGATACTCTGTCGTGGCCGTCCGTGTTTAAGTTCTTGTAATGAACAGATCATTAATTGCAAATTAATGTTGCAAAATTAAATTAAAATATATTTTAAAATAAAAAGTACTAGATAGTTATTGTTTATTATACCATTTCCAACATATTGCATAAATTGTTATTATTATAACTGTCAAGTAGCCAATGGCGGAATTAGAAGCCCTAACTCACTCTGTGTCCCAACTATTCACAGGACTATTTCACAGAAGAAAAAAAAATGCTATAACGACAACCTTCAGTTGGGACGTAAAAGAAAAACAAACAAAGATACTTTCCTATTGGAATATTAATTTAGTCATTTGACAGGGAGGCAAAAACACATACGGACGGACAGGACGAACGAAGCAAGACGAGTTTGCTGACATCGGCGCCGGATACGACGAGAACGATTCATTCATTGATAACACTGACGGTGTGAGTGGTATTTTATACGGACATACAACTATGCTCTGGTTTTTATTTAACAGATAGCTGAATTTTCCTTTTAATATGCCGAACTTTCCTTTTAGTGTCGTAACACAGCTCTATTAAATTATTTAAAACGTTCTGTGATATGACTCATTGAAATTTATTCTCTGAAAATAATTTTTAATGTCTTCATTAGGTTCTTTTATTTATATTTCTATTAAAATACAGTCCCGCCGAAGACAGTTTTACTAAAAAAAGTACTTTATCAAGTAAAAAGTAATGTATAAAATGTGAATAAATCATAATAAAATAGCGGCCATTGTATTAATCCAAGCACCGTAGAGTGAATTGACAAAAATAGTTCAAAGCAAAATATAAATATATTCAAATGTACTTATTACAATTACTTTTGAATCTGTTTTCAACATCTAAACTTGTCAAACAATTTTATTTTCTACGGTTGACTAATAATTGATGAGTGATGTTTGTTATCATGCAGTATGATGAGATGATTCCACCAGATTGTGATACATACTATGGTGGTTTCTACATCAACAGCGGCTCGCTAGAATTCAAGTCTGTGCCGGAGAACATAGCCCATTCAGAACCGGATCCAAGGAGGAACAAGGTAGGGTTGTATTTATTGTCAAAAAAAAATGCGGCAATATGCCGTTTTTTCTTTATTAGAGATATTTCACGACCTCCTTAGCCAAGTGGTTCACAGTAGGTTTCAAGGAGTCGCTGACTGAGGTCCTGGATTCGATTCTCGTCGGATCAATCTAAAAAAATCTAGAAATAGACGAGTGGAAGTTTACCGCTATTATATTGTAAAGAAGAATGGCGAAATCAGACCCCATAATTTACAAAACCGTACATGAATGGCAATATGACAAATAAATAATATATGATTAATAGATTTTATTTCTACAAAATGGTGAATTTTAATGTCGGGGAATCAAACTAAAATATTAAATGCTGCTAATCATTATCAAGATAACAAAACGTCTGATGATAGTGCAAAAACAAAACGCGAAAATCTTCTTAAGAAACGTTCTAGTCTACGCAGAAGTACTTTAATAATAATGCTATATCTTGGAAGTGTTTAATGAATTTTGCGCCGGGCAATAAAAGGGTCATCTATTTTAATGGATATTATCGTTTCCTGTACATTGCAATTCATTCTATTGCATTTAAAGTACCATTAATACGCTTAATAATCGAATATAAATTCAAAATAAGATTGTATAGAATAGATTCCGTTCTCTTTAATTGAAAACCACACAATATATCAAAGGGTTGTAGTTTGGGTGGTTTTTGAAAATCGATTCTCAATTAATCGCGAGTTTTCCATGAATAATGTTCTATAGAACATGTTCTCAAACATGTTCTATAGAATATTATCTGTCGCCATTTACTACTAATAATAAGTGAGATATGTGATGTAATGACGTGTACCGACTGAGCGAATGAACCTCAAATATATATTCAATATAAAATCTATATATAATATATTATATGAAATATGGTCTTTAAATACTTTCATAAATATTTATTTTATTCGTTCAAATTACGTATTGAATACTTGAGAAATAAAAAAATTGAAAGCTAAGATACCACAACCGAATTAAGAAGATTATTGCCAGTTCTGCAGTTGATCCGATGAAAGGTTAACGTATCGATTATTTTGTTCTAAATAATCGATTAGTTGAATTTATTTTGACATGCTTGTTTTCATCTATGAATGTTCTATGATGATGATGGTGGAATGATAGCGGATGATTGGTTTGGTTTGTTTGTTGTGTGTTCGTTCGTGGAGTTTGATATTTACGTTAATATTCAACTTGACAATTAAGCATGTTTCTTCGACTAACGTTGATATTTGCATTACTTTTGGATTCCGAAAAGCAATCGATTCGGTTATAACAATGACAGTTCAATATGTACATTGCCCTTATTTGTCACTTTCAGTTGTAATGATTTAATTAAAGGCAAAGGGATCTACTCCACACAGTTTAGTCATATATTATAAATGTTTCTTCTAGTATAAGTGCCTGGATCTTGTTAGATATGTAATTATTTTAATCTAGTTTATTAAACGCAGTAACCTGGTTACCATTTTTATTTATTTTAACGTCCATTCAACGAAAAAGCAAAGATGCAATATATAACCGCACAAAGTATTTTATGCCATATCTTTTTAATCCCAACTTTTAAAGGAAAAAGACGATTAGGATTTTGTTAGTTTAGCTTATACCTTCAAGTACACGTTTATTTCATTCATGAACGGGACTGTAAAAATTCAGGTCCAAAGCTATATGGGAGTTCGCCATTGTTCTTTATAGGGGCATTTAAAACTCTATTTTGATATAATATTTAACTTTGTATTGATTATTCATTGTTTGTACTTCTATTTAATATTATAGTGTAATGCTTATGTAATAATAAATATTATACGTACAGCGTCGTATATCATCAAGCAGTAGTGAAGAAGAGTCATCAGAGAGCTCATCAGAGTCCAGTCAAGATGAGAAGGATCCAAAACCTGTAGCCAATGGAGTCGTCGACTCACTTAAGACTGAACATCGGAAGATGGTACCTATTAAATTATACTAATATTATAAAAAGGTAATGTTTCTAAGTTTGTTTTAGGGGGTAATCTTCGAAATAATCTTCGATTTGATCATGAGAATTGTACACCTAGAAGCTACGTCGTACGCGGGTGACATGGACTTTAATTTACGCGGGCGAAGTCGCAAGAAATAATCTAGTATCTTTTACTTCTATATGTAGCAATAGGGAAATATAATAAAATAAGATGCGGTATAAGAGGGTCATAGAAATAGAAGGATCCATTTGGTTGGACATTTAGTTAAATATCCTGAAACTAATGGAGATCCTCAAACGATATACTACTGTTACTATTAATTACAATACCGTCTCATTAACGGTCAGTTGCACAAACGTCCATTAAGGTTTATGATGCCTTGAATCTCTAATTGATACCAAATTTGTATGGGTAAAATCGCTTTAATCTAATGGAAATTTTAATGGAAGTATGTGCATCTGGCTGTGAGTCTTATTTTAAAAGGCTTTTCGTGTCTTTTCGGATAGTTTTCCTCATGATGATAATTTATAAAAGGCAAAAATATGTCATATAGTTATTATAGGTACATAATGTGTAATTAGAATGAATTTTAATGATAAATCAATATTATATGATTCTACTAAGATATGTATCATGCCATGGTAATATTAGTCCTCTAATTTTTCTTGACAGAAAAACAAAAAGATTGAAAAGAATAAGAAGGCTAAGAAGATAAAAAGAGCTAATTCATCAGTAGCAACTTCTGGGAAACAAACTTCCGATGGTGTGTATTAAAATTCTAACATCAATGTGCAACCTTTATAAGAGATAATTACATAAAGCCATATTTAAGTTACAGTTTTTTAGATAATTTTTTAAAAGCCGTTTCTTTGATAATTTTAAATGTAAGTTATGATGTAGTTCACTTTCTTACTGGTTTTCATTTTTCATTAAATAGTGTATATGAAAGCTGGCCCCGGGCTAATAATCTATGTTACTTATATTTTATGAAGGAAATAAGAAAACACGTCTTTCACACACAAAACTGTAGACATTTATTTCTACATAATTCACACTTCCAGCAAAAATTACAACTTATAACTATATTTTTAAGGCAATTTGTTTCCCTCATTTATTTTTATAATCTCTTTTATTTTGCGCCTCCAAAAATTTGGCGCTCTGGGCAAATGTCCAGTCTGCCCATTTATAGCTCGGGGCCTGTATGAAAGTTTTAAAAAAATATTTTAAAATGACAATCAGATAACACATAGTTTAAAACAAAGTCTCTACTCTGTCTTTACGCTGAGATCTTTCACTACACAACTAATTTTACTGAGGTTTTCATCAATTTACACAGTGATTCAGGAGGAAGGTTTATGCGTATAAGAAAAGTCAGCACGGACAAAGTCGCTGGCGAAAAGTTACAGTTCATATTAAAAAATAATCATAAATTATACAAGATAAGGCCAGAATTTTATTAGATATAAATTCGGTGTCAACAGGACTTCCATGAATGTACGCTATATTATGACTTCTTCTTTTTTAAGTAATGGTTTAGCTGCGCATTTCGCACAATTCTGCCAATGTCAAGTAAATAAATATTTTTTTACATGTAAAATTAAAATGAAATGAATGAAAGATAGCGATGATTAAAAAAAGACCTATATTATGACATCAATCCTTTTGGAGGACGCAATGACAGTGACACTGACAGTTGACACATTGCTATAATATCACAAGCTTTTAAGCTCTAAAATAGTGTAAATTGCAAAATATAAGCTGTAATATTATATTATGTACCATGTCTTCTTGGGGTGGATAAGTTAAATATACTGAATAACTTTTATTATGGGAGCAAAACTTAATTCACGAAAAAAAAATCGGCTGTTTCAATACTGTTGGCTATTATAGGTATTACAATTTTGTATGAAACAGCTGATCTTTTTGCGTTAATTCAGTGTTGCTCCCGTAGTCGTTAACTTATACACCCCACGAAGTTCTGGTATATATTACACCTTATATATATATATATATTATACCTTATTGACATACGCTCTAGATAACGCTCACGAAAGTGCAGACTCGCGGACATCCCAGTCGGACTCGCTCACATCAAAACCTGCCCCCAGTTCAGAGAATGTGGTCACATCAGACAGTTCCAGGTGATAAACTTTAATCAAATTTCTCGGATTGTAAAATTATTTCTCATCATAAATCAACAGTATAGTGTAAGTGTACATTAACAGAAAAAAAACCATTCAATTTAATTTGTCCTTCAATTAAAAGTACAATCGACTGCTTGTCTGTTTGAGTTGATTCAAAATTTTATGTCTATATATCATTGTGTGTACACTATTATTAATTTAAAGTAACCTGATGTACATAAAAGAGCATATAAGGTTACGACTATAACAAAAATTTTGTATTTAATTTAATAATCCAATCCGAAAACATTAAGTATTTAAATCAAATGAACTGTACAGACACATAATTTACTCAGATACATAATGGAATGAAATGAAATTTAACAGCATCAGAAATTGGTGTAATACGGTGATCAGGGATGCCATATTCATAATTCCATTGAAAATCAAGATCCGGCTTAAACCTGGAAATTAAAATCACTGGGTGTTGGCAAATCTCGTGGTCCCAGTCTTAACCATAACATCCATATCAATCAATTAAAAAGCTACTTCTCGTAGAGCCTGCAGAGGCTTATTGATACACGTAAAGCTAAAACTAGATCGTCTCTCTAATCTGCCTACACCTAATTTCTCATTTTTCATACACCAATTGTCTATATGTCTATGTCTGTCTATCAGAAACAAAGCAGTGGGTAGTGATTCCACAAATTGCAAGATGATCTATACCTTTATTTATACCCAAACATTATTGATGGATCTCTCTAAAATCACTAATTGGAGTAAATTATTTGGTCTTATTGCCAACCGCGGTCTTAGTGTCAAGCTTCCGCTCCAAACTAAACGTGACTTACATACTATTACACTCCTCTATTCCATCCTTTTCCTACCTTTGACCTCCTCCCTATCTAAAAAAGGGATTTTTCCGAACCAGTACTTTTCACAGAGTATTCTATGCTCTTCTTTTAACGTAATCCTTCCAACACGAGTAACTTCAATTTACTTATTGGGGTGGTCTTAAAACAATCTAATGTAACAATTATTGAATAAAATACATTATTATTATTATATTATTATAATCCTTAATATTCCTCATCATGATACCAACTACTTATTTTCTAATTTTAAGAATTTGTCTATTTATTACTCCATGTTGCACCCCCCCCCCCCCCCCTGTTTTCTATCGTCATAGGTTGCCTGATTGAGATAGCTACGTTGCAATAAGACCGCCTTTTAATTCTCTCTTTAATAGCTTGTCTCTAATATGTCCTGTGTAGTTTGCGATAAAGAATACATTATTATATAATAAATGACTAAAAATATGATTTTGTATTAAACAGAGATGTAGAACCAAAGAGTAGGGCGAAGCTACCAGCGGTAATTGCACAGCTGATCGAAGAGTTAGAAGCTGTGGTTAACAGATGTCTGTTGGAAAACCCCAACGCTACTCCTAAAGATCTCGAGCTAAAGACTGAACATCATATCATGAGGTGAGATCTGCGAATTGGCTACTTGACAACAATAATAAATTATGAAATATATTTGGAAATGGTGATATATATGTTAACAATAACTATTTTATTTTGCAAAACTAACTTTCAATTTATAATCTGCGAATTACAAGAAGCGACAGGTGACCATGACGGTATATGATGTGACGTCACATTTCAATAAACTAAACGTCGACGTCTTTGTTGCTAATTCAACCAGTGCTCTTGTTTATTGAATGTGACGTTACGCTTCAAAATGTCATATGACTGATTTTTTGCGTGAGAAAATTAATTTATAAAAATATGTTATTCTTTGAATTACACTTTTCAGAGAAAATATCATATGTTATTAAGCTCGTCCCGCCGTAGATTTTATTCATGTCCTTAGGCTAGATTGAGGTCAAGAAGAGTATAAATGATTAACATCAAAGTTACAAAATAATTTTCCCTAAAAATTCGAATAGCCGATAGGGGATCGGACAACTGTCCCCTGGGGGAAATCCCCTTTGCTGTGTGGTAAACAAAGGGGATTTTCAGTGAAAAAAAATTATCGTCTATAATACTTACTCATATTTAAACTCCTAAACACATAAAATAGTAAAGTGATCCTTGTAACCTTTTAAATATCAAATAAATCATTAAAATTATTTTGCACTTTGAATGTGTCCTGCGCTTTTCCTAGATAGTTTTACTACCAATTTACCCACAAATGACATCACTAGCTCTAATTGGTGTTTCATTTGACGCGAGACACTGATTACTAAGATTGGGAAATGTTATAATTTTTGTGTTATAATGAAATGTTTATTGATTTCAAAATATAAATAATTGTTATTTAGCAAAAATGTTATGGACTTTTATTTAAATATAAATAATTTTTTTATCTAATTGCTGTCCGAAACCGTACTATGAAACTTATCATTAAGGTGATGTCTCGTTATTCAGACTGTCTCAAGCTTTGACGTCGTCGACTGAAGAAAACGCAGTGAAACGTACCGCGTGGACTCTGGCTGCTCGTTGCTTGCGAGTGTCTCGCACTAAACTCGTCCAGCGCGTAACACTCGCAACACTCGCCAAAACCGCAACGGCCGCCTCCACGTCTCAGCAACAACCAGGTTAGTAGGTGACGTTTACTATGCGAGCCAATAGAAATTGCATTGCTCTCAACATCAATAAGGTGTGAAAAAAAGGAACGATTTTTTAAATTAACGCATAATCGTAATGCGTTTTAAAGGATAACGTCATAGCTACATTTGTAATTGAACTCGATGTTATAAAATGGAGACGCGTTTAGGGTGGCCAGCCTTAACTTAATCATGGCGACAAATCTCAATTTCATATTTAGTTATAAAGAAAAGACTTAAGAGACCAATTTTGAAAAAAAAAAGAACTTCTTGATAAATTCGTGTCAAAACTTATAATAAATCCAATAATTGTATAATATTAAACGAATTCTAAAAATACAGAAAAATATTTTCTTTGCTGTCAGTACTAAAACAAAAGTGATGAAATTGATAGCTAACCCTATTATTGAGTCGCACAATACATTCTTATCACTACAAGGTGCGTAATAGTAGATTTGTAAAATGTCACTGTTATTTTTACGTTTTCAGGAATATGACTACTGTAATACAACGCATCGATATGAATAAATATGTGAGAACAGGGCTGTCAATTCCCTTACATTTACACGACCCACCTTTTAATGTAACACTGTAATAGAAATAATTATTAATATAATATATTAATCTACACTCAAATCTAAAAATTTGAATTATGAATTCAATGACGATTCTATACATACGCACTTTATAAACGCATATACATAAAATTAAAAATAAAACTTAAATATGAATAAAAAAAAATGAATATGGTTTTATGCTGATTATGACAAAAAAGTGTAAAAAAATTGGCGCACGCATAAATTACTACCTTGTAACCTACCTACTTTGTTTGATTTCAATTTTTCCTATGAGTGAAGATAAAGCAGTGTATGAAGCTGCATATAACTTAGGTATTAAAACATTCGAGTCAACCTATTATCGATAAACAGACTCGTGTTTTAATACCCCTTCTTATATGACAGTTGCATAAACTACTATTTTCTATTTCTGTAATGTTACCAGTAGTGCATATTGATTTATGATGGTTTTGTGTTTTTAGAATGTACCACAGCTCCTGTTCAATCGGCTGCGGTGAGCAACAAACGTAAAGCGGATGATGATCTCGACGAGGTAGACTATAGCCGTCTCACCGCAGACGAAAGGGAGGAGATGATTGTGGAGACATTACGAAAGTAAGTTTTGTTTTTTTCACTGTTGCAGTGGAGGTAGCCCTATGTACTTGTACTAAAACTAAATAATAAGTACAGATTCTTACTTATCACTACAAAAGATAGCATATTTAGTTTATCAGTGCCAGAACTAGAACACGAACGGTTCTTTTTTTTTTTAAATTTTCTATTAAACGTAAAGAATCGTCGTCCAATTTGACAAATCAAACACTCATCACATAAAAGAGAATATTTTTTCTTTATTTTTAAAGGATAGTCGTCCATTTTAGAATCTCTGACATACATGACGTCAAACGCATGGCAGCCAATGTTTTTTACGTGACGTCAAACGCATGGCCGCCAATGTTAAGACATACTCGACTCATAATCATCGCCCTTTTTGCCGTTCCCCCGCGCATTTTTTTTTTCCCAAAATATAGTCTACCGTTCTATGCTGGAGTGAAAATAATTCGAATATCATGAAAAATCAAGGTTGAATTCTCTTTTTCACTAATATTACATCACTATTGCTTCTAATGTCCATCATATCAGATAACATGCAAGACGTTATAGTATAATTGGTCATCTAAACTTAGTTATTCAACTTAGTGATAATGGATTTCATATTAACTTTTGTCGAAGTCGATAAATCATTTGCCATATTGTTTATTATTCCATAGGAGTAGGCGATAGTTAAAATATCTTTAAAACTGATAGGAGTCATTATCTCCAATCTTCTAGTACGCATATATGTTATTATTAACAATTGTTGCAGATTAAAAACATTAATAGAAGAACGGAAACCAGGGATGATTGGCAGTTATAATGCTGAATGTGAAAGAGTTCGTGAAGAAAGGTAAGAAAATAAGGAATTGCCAGTTTTTCAAAAATATTTTGTAAAATGTGAGTACAATTAAAATGCCATGTTAATTCCTACGAGTTATATATACATAGTTATTAGAGATGCGCCGAACAGTGGTTTCAGCGAATAACCGAATACCAAATTCAATTTAGTTTATACTTTACCGAACTGGATACCCGGTCGATGTATTCGGTTTATCATTTCATTGTTTTACCGTGCAAACAGGTTTAAAACTAAATATTGACAGAATAAAAAGAAATGTGGAATTGATTGAGGTTTAAAATTTTGTTAAAATTTTGTCTAAAAACTAATGTTGATTGAAGAACCAAAATTGGTTCAAACCAAAATTGATTTGTGACTTCAAAAGCAGGACAAAGAATGAAATTCAAAATTCTTTATCCTGCTTACTTTGGCTCATAATATAACATAAATATTACATGAAAAAATTTTCTTTTAGTTCTATGCTGTGTCCTGTAGCCAACAAACTAGAAATACTAGAACCAAATATATTAATTGTAACAGTAGTTTGGTACAACAATAGTGAAAAATAGTAAACGAATATTCGGCGCATCTCTAATAGTTAATCAGCAGTATAAATTATTGTTAATTTTTTAAATTTTATTATGTTTTTTGTCTATTAATAGAAAGAAGATAAAGATAGCCACAGTTTCTGAAGGCGCGCCTCACATAGAGAAACGTATGCCGAAGCGTCGTTTCCCCTGGTGTCCGACATCGCGCGCGCTCCTCCACCGCTTGAGGGCGCTAGCGGGCGGCGGGGACGCGGCCGCCATGCTGCTAGCTAAGCGGGCGTTGCCGCTGTTCCCGGCCGGATTCGTTAGGATGCCCACGCTACTGCGGCAGGCGGAGTGAGTGTTATGCCTGATTTACACGAAACTAAGTAGATAAGTAAATTCTATTCATAATGAAAAATGCTTAAAAAATACATTTTATCCCGAGGTATTCTGAGATGGCACACTTATGCAATCTTTTGCAATCCGAGGGACTGTTCTGACCATTGAGCTACCCGGGAACTTACAGGACCGACGAATCTTTCAAGCGCTTTCTTTTATCGCTACTAACGAGTGTATTCTCATCAATTTTCAGGCAATTCACCCTAAGGGCAAATGGATTTTTAAGCATGTTTCACTAAGAATATTTTCCAATATGGTAATGTGAATGCAAAATTATTCAAATGTAATAAGTGCATTCTAATTTACATATAAATCAATTCAGCTCATAATTAGCTATTTAAATATTTACTAATTTGTGAGATTACACATACTTAATCACTTAAAACTTACTTAAAATCTATGTAATTATGTGGATGTGTAAATCGGCCTTTTAATAATATCGTACGTTGTCGCTTCTGATAGATATTGCAAACATTTTAGGTTCACTATGACAAAAATGTTTGCGCACGAGTGAAATCTGTTTGATTTTATTAAGTAAACGGATTTTAACCTATTCAGCCTAGTCTAAGTGCCCGCGCTACTGTCGCTTCAGATGCAATCATACGTTTTTCAAGCTCAGATAAGATTTTAGTATTCTGCATTCCAAAAGAAAAGAAGGAACGCATATGTCACTCAAGTCTCTTGTTTGCTGCTCCATATATCTGTTACAGCTATGTTGCACCGAAATTATATTAATTTACACATATATAATATATAAACACAAAATTTATTTTTATATTTAGGTCTGAATGGGTGTCATGTATGAATCTATATATATTTAGGTCTGGTCTAATATATATTTAAGTGTTAATGGATGTCATGTATGAATCAATATTTACTACATTCACCATTTATTAACAATACAAGCTTTTACGCTCGCGTAGAATCTGGATATTTAACGCGATGATAACTATCCTATGCCTTTTACCAAGGTACACCATATTTGTGTACTAAATTTCATTAATATTGGTTTAGCAATTTAGTATATGTATTCATGAAAACGTTAACGGACACACAGACAATATTACTTTCGTATTTATATTGTATATGTTTCGTTTTTCATTTTCCATGCTAAGGTTGCTGATAGAGTAATAAAATTTAGACAATTTTACATAGGCAGACGTTATACCAAAATATACTGTAAATATTATTGTATTGGTAGGTGGGTTGTATCATTGTGGTATTGTGCTATGGGTACATACATTTGTAGTTGCAGGCTAAGCTGTAATTATGACGTTATTGTGTGGATTTGTAAAATGTCCATACTGTTACCCAGCAATTAGTATAACTGTGTCCATTCATAAACAATGTTTTAGTAAAAATAAAATTCATTATGATTATTGATTATTTGTTTCTGTTACATATTGTATAAAATAAGCAAAAAAATGAATATCGGTAATATGTAACACTACCAGAAATGTATTTATTTTCGTTTACTGTCTACATCCGTATTTTATGATTTTTGTATCATCATACTTATACTTTTATTGTTTGATTGCAGCCTCAGTAAAGAGATAAAAGTAGCAGCTGAAACGAAACGTCAAAGGTTAGGATCCGCATCACAACCTCCCGCCTCCTTCACCGAACCCATACACTTTCCGAGCTCGTTAACAGTCACCACTACCACAAACAGGCCTGTTGAGAAACAAGAAGAAGACAAAGACAAATTCAAGAATCAAATGTTTGGCACCATCATCAATAGCTTCACATTAAGCAAAGACTTGGTAGTCGAAAAACCCGATGACAAGAAAAAGGAAGATAAGAGCAGAGAAGACTTGTACATTCCCCCTAATAATATTGGCAGCATCACAATTACACCCGTTCCTAATAGCAGTAAAGAGAAGAAGATAAACTCTGTTATAACAACAGAGAAGCATAGCGAAAGCCTAATTAGGGTTAAGTCTCCAGCGGCGTTAAACGATATGGTAAAAAAAGACAAGGAAAAACATAAAAAGTCGGAAAAGAATCATATCAAAGATAAGAAAGCTGAAGTTCCTCTACACGTCGATACAAATATACAGCCCAGCAATAAAGAGCCAAGTCCCAATTCATATGAAAAACATAAAGAGGGTTATATTAGAGTAAAATCTCCAGCTGCACTGAACGATATGTTGAAGAAAGATAAAGACAAAAATAAAAAGCCTGATAAGAACCATGTCAAAGACAAGAAAGTTGAAACCCCTCTACATGTGGATACGACTTTCCAGACTGGTAAAAAGGAGACTAGTCCCAAAAATAAGGAAGAGATAACACAAAAGCAAATTGAAAGCATGAGGATAGCGGAAAACAACATTCCTAGGCCAGCATTAGTTCCCGTACACCATTCACCTACATTTGCAAAACCAGATAAAAGACCACCTGAAGTGAAAAAGAAGAAAGACGTTGTCATAGTATCTGACTTGGATCCATTGGGTGATGTTCAACCTGAACCTTTTGCTGTGGACGATAGTAGCAGCGATGTTGAAGTGATTGAAGATAAGAATACTGACAAAAGTGTACCTAAGAGTGATAAAAATGACACAGTGCCTTCAAAGGACCGAGTGAGTGCGCAAGACGAACTAAAGAAAGTAAACAGTGTGAAACAATGTAAAGCGGCGAGTGTCGTGACCGCTGTGAAGGACGGTAAAAGTGAAAAACGTAGTGATTCGTTAGACGAATCCACTAAAGAAGATATTGATAATATTATGAGGAATATAAGGGAGATGGAGGTATGTTATCATTTTGATTCTATCTAAATATGGTTTTCAAAGTGAAAAGGGAAGTAACTGCGATGATTTGGATCTTTAATATAGTATTGAAATTATATAGAAAAGAAATTTAATAACAAAGTTTATTGGTACAACAGTCAATGCAACATAGATCAAAAATCTGAAGTAGCCAAAAACATCTGTAAGCATTGCAGTCAAAATAAACATATTATTTTGTACATCCATGGATAACATTTAACATTATTATATAAAAATATCCCAGTCAAAGGCAGTACTACTTATGACCATAATACTAAGAATTAAAGCATATTTCCCAGTTGTAAAATATTATAACTACTGTGGTTACTTATAACAATAAGAATTCTCTTTTTTGGCTACTTTAGGTAAAGCAATCTATTTGATGCAGACTATATTCTCAGGTCAAAATGGGTGTTGTGGTTCTAATGCATTGAATTTGAAGTTCTTTGGTTTTCATTAACTACTTGTGAATGCTTTGTAAAATAACATTTATCTAATAACTATATATCAAAAGCCTTATGTATAAACAATGTGATGAAGCAAATAATAAAATGGAGTGTTTTGTCTCTTCTACTCCAATTAAAAAAGGACCTTGGAATGACATGAACAGAACTTTATAAATCACTAAAACATTGTTTACATGTAAGTGCATCAGTTGCATGCAATAGTGCTGGGTTTATGTATTTATAACATAAAATACAGATTTATCTTCACCATATAATATAATAATACAATACATATGTTCAATGATACTTGTTCTTATACAACAACGCACTCTTTCCCTACAATCAACATTGCAAAAAACTGATATATAATCATAGATATTTGTACTCATAAATATATTTTCAGCATTCACAAGAGCCAACCAAGCTGAATACCAGTTCTTATGGTGGTGTAATAACTAGCGGTAAGTTTTCAACATTCGATAATTTACAATAATATTTGTTTCGAATTTGGCCTTTAGCAATATAACATTTAAAGTTGGTTTTTGTCGGCCAGTGAAGCACGAGAAGTCTTCCAGCCAACCTCCGTTCAACGCAAGGAACTCTATATTCGGGGAGGCTCGGTCAGATAAAGACAAGTTGTAAGTGGCGCGTTTATGTGCAGTTGTTGTAAACCTTTTCTATAATGTTATCTACATTTTGTCACATTCTCATTGTGTTAATAATTTTAACTCTGGAAATTTCTTTGTTAGTAAGTAAAATGTTATAAATATTAGTATAATTTAAAATTATTTACTCCCTTTGTAATTATAATTTAATCTCCAATAAAAAATAATACTCCTTTTGAAAAAAAATTGTTCTTTTTTATATTGTAAGTTTTGTTGTTTATATAATGTAAATGACTAATGCAAAATTAAGATCAATATTTTTTTTTACCAATCTTATTAACAATACTTATACAAAAATTGTGGGCAAAGAGCAATGAGTGTGACAGTATAACTGCAGCAGTATAATGTCACATTATACTTGATTTGTATTTTTATCAAATGTTTCACATATGTCGCCTTTAAAATACAAATAATAAGCATATCTAAATTGGGATAAAAATATTAACACAAATATAATTATAGCATGCTTGTTCCAATAGTTAAAATTAGATGAAAAGGTTTGTCACACGTGAGCTTGTCTTCAGACACTGTCATAATATAATCACATTGCTCGCTAAAGTCTAGGCTTTTATCACTGCTTTGCCGTTTCGGAGTGGTAATGGACTTATCTTTATTATAATACTAGAACTCTAGTCTGTTACTATTCTGACAGTGCAGCAAATACTTATACTTCTATTTACAATAGGGTTTTTCTCCGCATAGGATGTGAGATATTAACGCAAACAATGCAATTCCGATATGAAATACAAGCAATGTCTTGTAGAAAAATATTTATAAATCAACCATTTCAGCGGCTCTACTGTGACTGAAGATCAATTAGTACTTTTAATGAGATTTAACTTATGTCGTGTAATATATACCTACGTCACGTTGCAACGTCTCATGTTCTCTGCACGTATATTGTCATTGTTCACATGTAGTTAACAATACACGCCGAGATCATTTCATAGTCGATGTTGTTTTCATTATATTTAGGTTCAAAAGCCAAATTGTACTCATTTTTTTTTTCTATGTTTTTTCACTTTCCGTCTCGGTTACAGCTGAATGCTGAGTATAGCGAACTCGAAAATTTTGTTGAGAGTGAGGTAAAGGCATACAATATCTCTCTCGGTCTCGCTCTCGTCATCTCGTCTCATGCTACGCTGACTGGTCACATTTGACTTATCCATTTCGTAATAAGAAACTATTCTCTGGAAGTAGTTTTTAAAACATTTTTTTTTTTTACAAAATAATGACAATACATTAACATTAGGAAATTGTGTCACTAATTCTACTGTTACTTCTTGGATGAATGTATCCCAAATAATATCTCACTTTTAAATCGAGTTTCTAGAGTCCTTTATGGTACGCGCGCTTGACGTAACGTCGTACGTAATATGTTCCTTTGCGGAACGTTTATGTAGGTACAGCATCTTAGCTTAAAGCGCGTATTGTATTAAGAGAACAATAATTTAAGTATTAATATTCAGTGGATTAATATTAGTCTTCTATATATTAAATTTGTCATATTTTTTAATTTTATTTTCAAATTTCGTACTTTTTATTTGTCCCATTTTTCCTTTGGATATGTACAGTAGCAACAGTGTTATTTTTTGTTTTTTTTTTTTAAAGTTCAATTGGAGATGGTAGATGCTTAAAGATTACCATTTACTTTAATAATACATTTAAAACCTGATATAAAAATATATATCAAGCTTGGTCATGAGAGGTTACCATTGAATGAATTGTACATATTTATATTTCATATTATTTCTTTTTACAGAGAACTTATTTCTTTCTTCTTTCTAATACCTATCGTATAACACTCACTGTATTATTATAACTCACTACACTTAACATCACTGATTCCTAGGTGATGGTCATCATAAATTTTCTGCTTGCGGTTTTCGGTCCTAGTTGCTTGGTACAAGATCACAAATTTATTAATAAAATTTAAAATTCTTTAACACACAAATGATTAATCATTTTCTGATATAACTTTTTTTTTTTTTTGTTTCTTTGTATTTAACTGTCAGTTAGTATGCTTATATGGTAGGAAGAAATACTAAAACGTTTGATACCATTGTTGTAAAAATGTTTAAATAGCTTTAATGTAAAATGCTTAAAAACTCTTTCAGCCCGAGGTATTCCAAGACGGGACCCAACCTAAAATATAAAAAATACTCAACCAATATAATGTTCATAAAAGCTATTAATTGATAATAATGTAATTTATGGATTTAAATATTTGTATTATATGCCTAAACTCACACTATTTGATATATTTTTAACATCTGCCTGTCGTTCCAAAATGTCTTGCCCTAACGGGTCATAAGTTCACACGTTTATACTTATGCCATCTATTCTATGTTACATGTGTTGACAATTAATAATTGAGTATTAAAATCTCACTCAATAGTTAAACCAACGCCATGACTGATGACCATCAGAAATGGTGAATTTTGCAATCACTTATTACTTTTCGCTACCTTCTGTACCAAGGGCTGGTGGATTTTTAAAGCATTTTCATTAAAGATATTTGTGAGTATAGATAGCCTTGTGAATGCATAATCGATCGGCATACGATACTTTCGACAATCTGGGTATCTGTACTATTTTATAGAAATATATATTTTTTACAATAATTAGTGATACATGGGAAAAACAGTTTCTACTTTTTTCACATTTAAAAGTAAACAACTTCTCTTCCCTATATTTTTAATTTATTTTAAATTCATATGGTTTTCTATAGGGTGAACGTTTGTTTCAGCGCAGAACGAGCTTCTTTGAACAAAATGGATGGATGTAGTGTCATCACTGGTAAGTTGATCTACTGAAATTATATATCTATATTCCGTTACAAAACTACATTGTACTATCGATATATATATAACATAAGAAAATGGTGCAGCACATTAGATTACATTGATAGGTCAAATTTTCGTAATTGATTTGAAATAATGTAGTGCTCCTGTCTTTTCAGGTTAACCGCTCTGTTTATTAATATGAAGAAAGAAAAAGATATTATGTAATCATGAGGTTGTTATATGAATGATAGATTTATTCCACGAAGACGGCCCTAAACTGGCGACGCTGACACGTGCAGGACTACTGTCAAACCGTAGACAAGATGGCGGAGGTTAGATTTACCTTTTCAGACCATAGATATTATGACTGCAAACAGTGTATTGTCTGTTACGTTGTATTGTTCTAATCCCTTCCACTATTCCCTACCGTTGCTCAAATACTTTTTAAATTAACTCTATTTTTTCGAATACTCTATGGTCTATGCTGTATTGTATGTATATATCTTTGATTTGTATAAAATGGTTGTATTACTTTCGAATCTGTCGCATAATAGAGAAACACCACTATTTTTCTAGTCCTTGAAAAGTATTCGTAGTGAAATTTTGAATTTCGCATTTTAAGTCGACAGCTAGACCTGCACCGTATCAACAAAAAATGTTGTGAAATAAAAACCTTAATTGTCATTTATTTCTCCAACTAGAACTGTGTATAGAACACTCTTGTTTTGTATAAATCATTAATTTTTAAAATATTATTATGTTTGATCATCACACTGCTCCACTTTTATTGAAAACGGCCGTTTGCTATTTAGGTACTGAACAGAAGATGAACACGTTTTTTTTTTTCATTCGGTTATAATTATGTGTAGTTGCAAACGGCCCCGTGTACCAAATAAAATTACACGCGGTAATTATCATGATTTTTATTGATTTAATGATAATAATTCTACAAAGCAACTCTTTCCCAGTGTTTCATTTGAGTATATACATCTCTGTCTAGCGTAGAGTTGTGAAGACCGTATAATATGGTGATTAAAATCGCAATAATATTCTAAATTCTCTCCGTTAAGATATGATTATTCAACTCGTATTTATTATACTGGTATGAGTAATATACGGCGCATTTACAACTCTAGTCTAGTGATTATTCAGGCCTACAAAAAATCTGAAATGTATAAGTAAATAGTAAAAAAATAAGTACATTTACATCCCTTTCATGTGTTATTTTATAGTATTTTTCTGTGAAAGCTCTAAAGAGTATGAAATTCCAGTATTCGTATTAACCAAATCTATATATCTCTAAATGTTTATGTACTTTTGATTTTGTGTTTATAAAGGTCGGTGCATACCAGACGATATAACATTGTTAACGGAACTAGGACGGGATGGCGCTATGAGAATAAAAACCACTTATTATTTTCAGCTGTCAATAAATAAAGATAATCTATTGTTATCAATATATTCAAATTTCTGTATTAGTATTAGAAAACTCATCGTACCCCCATCTGTTGACGTTCAAAACGAATGAAACCGTGACGTGACCTAAACGCTGTCAATAATCTCTACTATCGTGCTAATCTTGAAAAATAACCCCTCATCATATAGGTATACTAGTGGACGCCCGCGACTTCGTCCGCGTGGAAGTCGGTATCCCGTGGGAGTGAGAAGTTTTCCCAGTAAAAAGTACCCTATGTGTTATTCTGATGTATAACCTATATTGCTGTAAAGTTTTATCCAAATCCGTCCAGTAGTTTTTTCGTGAAAGAGTAACAAACATCCATACATCCATACTTACAAACTTTCGCCTTTATAATATTAATAGGATATGTTGAGGGTTATTTTTCACTCACACTCAAATGTTACATATTTCGAACGGGAAGTTGTAGTGATGCAACAAATACGAATATTTGTATTCATAGTCAATATTTGCTGAATATTCGTATTTTTCATTGACAATGATTGTTAAAAGGATCTATTTTTAACTCATTAGGTAACGCAAATTATGATTTTATATACCTACACAATTTTGATTTAAAGTTTGAAACCGTGTGTCATCACTCAAAAATTGTGATTTAATAATGATATTCCAAAATCTGTTGTCAAAATCACTATTATAGATATCGTGTTCAAATTAGATCTATACATTTCCTTTGATAAAATGTCACCCGAAATAGCTGGTCTGTCCCGTCTAGCAGGTCAACAATTCTAATGTTTACGTTATAACCGCAACACAATAGAATCTCTATTACTTGTATTGTTGTGCTATCTACATAAAGTCCAATATTATGTCTTCCTCACACATCAGTAGGGTGACATATAATATTTGACTTCAGGTAAATAGTGCAAGAGTAAAATGCAAATAGTTGAAATTGGCCTGCAGGTTGAGAAATGTTAAGTGTGTATGTAATCTTTGACTTCTTAGGTTATTATTGTGACCAATTTTCGATTCTGGTGATTACGAATGGAGCTCAACTATTGGTTGTCTTACTTATGTGATATCTGAAAGGAGATTATGTTTTTGTAAAATATAGTACTGAAAATGGGAAGTAACGATGACGATATTTTTTCAGCTTCGATAGATGGCAGCAGCGTTTTAATAGGGCTTGTAGATCTAAATAGTTAATTTTGAATTTGTTTTGTACGCAGGAGAACGTTAAACAATGAAATGTTCATTCATATCTATAGCATTTCCGGGCACAATAATTTAGACAGGTACCCTTTTTTGTCTTTACGTCGAGAAGTACAGTGTTTTATACTTACAATTCTCAGAAAAGTAAGGGTATTTGGATAATTAAACTAAATCAATAATTATATTAACTCGAAAAACCACAAAAGAAATATATGTATAATCCTATCGATAAAAAAATAAATGTTCTCATTTTATTAATGCCATCTTTTGACAGTGAAAAATATTGTCACTAAATTTCTATGTCAAATAAAAATTGAGTTTGCGTGGAAAGCAGTTTCAGTCTGTATGAATATTGTGATTGTTGTAATAAAGTTAAAATTGTAATAATTATTATTAGACTTGGTTTTAAAAGCACTGCCGTTTATTACTAAGGGAACTTCAAGTAGCACTTTAAGCCTGTGTTTTGCACGCGTTGTATTTGGCCCATTCTCCTAATTGGTGATACAGTAAAACTTAACAAATATGGCATACGGAATTTACAATGAATTGAGTTTTAATGACCAAAAGGCATAAAATACAATGACACTTGGTTTCTGTGTCACAGAGATATGGGCATTACTTGAATGATTCTGATTGTCCAGAAATGTAGTTTTCTGTGAGTTGTGTTTTGCTGTAACACTACGGATTGTGCCAAAACAGTAAACATATTGGCTCGTTACCATCTTCAAATTGTTTAGTAATCGTATATATATATTAAATAAAACATAATTTTATACGTAACAAATAGCCTATTAATTTATCTGTTAAACTATTCGTGATGTATTCTCAACTTAATATTGTATGTTTCATATGTAAATTCGTAAGTATTAAATTGATTACGAAACATTTCTTTTTATATTCAATGAATATGTATTTTACTTGCAAATGATAATAAATAATATGTTTAAGGTATATTATTTATTCTAAATTATATCATTGCAAAATTTTAAAACTATATTCAAATTGGTTGTGGAGCAGTCTATTTTTTTAATACAGAGCCATTTGAGACAACTATAGGTGTTTATGGACGATACATACATAGATTATATCTAGTTAGATCGCAAACCATTTTGTACTGTACGAGAAAGCACATAAAATGTTTTAACCAGAAATTCCAAATTATCCCAATGTAATAATTATGCATAAATATTTATATGATTAGATGAGACGTGTGATTTTTATTTATTGCCCCTGAATTAAGTAAATAGATATTTAAGACGAGTGGTTGGTTTCATCAGTGTCTTTGAAACGTTTTTACACAAAAAAAACATTAACAAAGCCTAAAAAATCTCTCTCTCTCGCTTTGTTTCCATAAAAAAATATCTGAAATAAATTATACTGCTACTAATTCTACACTATCTTAAATCTAGCTCATATATTATATTTTAATATATGAGCTAGATTTAAATCAGAGGTTCCTAAGTGGTGTTCCATAAAAGCCTACTAGGTGCTCCGTGGAGCATCATTATCTAAATTATATAAATAGTAATTTTACTTATAGTTACCTACATAAAACGTCTTTTAAATACTTAAAAAATTGTTTCAATTTACTTTCTTTATCTAGACTTACAGCATATTAAACAAAGTCGGTAAATGGCTTTTTGTACCTGAACAAATTTGATAAACCAGATATAGAACTGCCTTAGAAAAACGGAAAATGGCTTCACATATCTGTTTAACCAGTGGTTGGTTTAGATAAGGAACAAAGAACGGAAATACTTTTTAATAACATGAACATAAGCAAGAAATCATATAAATAAAACCACAGAACATCTTTATGAATTTTTTTTTTATTAATTTCACAAAAGTATTTATTAAAAGCCACAGTTGAAGGCTTTTAAGCTGTCAAAGCGATGACGGTACATCCTTAAGTTTACCTTCCATCATTGTACATTCCAACAGTGAGCTAAAATCCAGGGATTCGGAAGCTATCTAGATAACTACATTTATAACGTTAGTTTTTATAGAAAATATTGACATATAGTTCATTCGAATAAAGGCAGTAGAAGCTTGCATTTCTCGGCTTTGCGACTACGGATGCCACGGCCCCCGGTCGTGTACACGCCTCTTAAATATACCATTTATATATATATATTTTGTATTGTATAAATAATGACTTTATTTTACTTATATTTAACGCGTGAATAACACTATGTTTACGTATCATAGAACAGCTCAGTGTATTATTTATACTGACATTATTATTTATATAAAACGTGAAGCAACACTGATTCTAATATTTAAAATATTAAGTTATTTGTGACTTCTATACTCAAACTCCTTACACTCTATCTATAGAAAGATATGACCATTGTAACTGGAGGATTTTCTAAA